CTTAAAACTCAAATTACTTTTACTAAGGCAGTGGAAGATTTGATAGAAAGAAAAGGACTAGAATTAGCTGAAAGGGAGCCACTCCCGTCATTGACAAAAGTTCCATTCACCAGCCAATTTGTTGTTCACTGTGATCTTCTTCAGAATGCTTCTAAGGATACAACACAGATTTACGAACAAAAGGCTATAACCCTAGAAACCATCAGAAAACGATTTCCAGAGACAGAATGGCTCCATGTATATACAGATGGTTCTGCACTGGAAGCACGCAAACATGCCGGAGCTGGTGTTTATTCAAAGGAGTTTCAACTTGCCGCCCCGGTCGGAAAGGTAGCCACAAACTTTGAAGGGGAAGTGAAAGCCATTCTCTTAGGCCTTGAGATGTTAACTGAACGGAAAGACAAGAAAGTGGCTTTCTTTGTTGACTCACAGGCAGCCATTTTGTCCCTAAAAAATGGATATAGTATAAATCCAAATGTTCCTAAATGCCATCAATATTTGAACCAATTAAAGGAAAATGGGACAGAAGTCGCTTTCCAGTGGATACCAGGCCATTGCGGGCTCCACGGAAATGATGAAGCTGATAAACTGCCCAGAATAGGTTCTGGAATGATCCAACCCGATATTCCTCTGACCATGGATTCAATAAAAAGAATCATAAAGCAGACCCTCCAAATTTCACTGAAAGCGAAATATGTACAAACAATTGAAGGGAAACGATGGAGTGGTTTGCTGGAAGAAAGTGGCAGGATTCCTAGAGACCTCCCTAGAGAGCAAGCCGTGGCATGCTTTTGAATGCTGACAGGCCACGATTTCCTTCAGAAACACCTCCACCGCATCGGTGTAAAAGATAGCCCGACATGCCCTCTATGTTCCTTAGACATAATGACAGGAGAACATCTTGATACATGTCCTGCATTACAGGACATAAGATGTTGCTTTAATGAAATGGACAGCTATTATACTCGGAGAGCGAAATTGTATTGGACTGCAAGAGCACGCATGGCTAACGAAGTAGGCGTTACTTAGGCGTAGGAAAAAAAAAAAAAAAAAAAAAAAAAAAAAAAAAAAAAAACTTAGAACGAGATTATAGATTTTTTTTTTTTCAATTTACGGAATTATAGAATAGAATAGAATGGTTGAAAAGGTATCAGCTATTTTTTAAAGTTCTCAGTTGGCATTGCCTTCGGATTATTTTTTTTTTTTTTTACCACCTTACCTAATGGAAGAAACACTTTCTTCATCTTAATTTCGAACTTCATCTACATATAATTTCGTCCAGCTAAATTCGCAATAGGCTACACTGAGGGACAGTGGGGGGACGCTTCCCCTGCAATGTTTGAATTGGTCCTATTCATTCACACCGATATCTTGAATGGTTCCATATGTTTTTAACTGGAAAATTCGGGAAACACCATTACAAGCTAACTATAAGACTTCAAAACATTTTGTCAACTAGTCAAATAAGAATAAATAAGTTGGATAATATTAACATTTTTAAAAAGTTCCATTTAACAGTTTCTGCGAAACTTTATAGGAAAAAAAATTTAAAAATAAAAGTTCTCAGAAACTTTTTTGTAATAAAGTTCCAGATTTATGGAAATTATTGATGTCTTAAATGAATTACACATTTGAGAAACTATGAAAGTTTCATATTTTTCAAAATAAAAGTTTAGCAAAACCTTTACTTGAAAAACTTCTAGTTCCAAAAGAACTGAAAAGCTATCGACTGTAAAAATTCCGATGGTACCGAAACGTAATAAAAATAAAAGTTTTTTTCCCCCTTCCAAACGTTGTTTTTAGAGAAAATCTCTTAATGTTGTTTTGATATGGCATGGTTATATTTTACCATTTTGGGGGAGAGGGAATGTTCAGCCCAAAAGTCCTCCCCCCTCCCCCCCGTAGATTCGCCTGTGAAAAGCCCCAACCGCCAAGCAGCGTCCTCCAGTGCTTGCCTGGATTGCAGTCGGAATATATAGTATGCAGTCTATGCAATCGCTTAAACAGAAATTTTAAATAAATCTTTAAATATTATGGTCCCTCTCTCTACCCTCCTCAATAATTTTATCAGAAAGATACCGATGAAATTTTAAAAATTCTCTAGCACAGGTTTTTTATTTTACCACGAAGAGTTAATTTTTATTGACAGGAGTGACTTTTCTTATGAATAGTTGGCCCTTGCGAATAATTCGCAAAGAATGAAAGGTCATTGAACAAATGGCAAAATAATAAATAAATAAAAAAAAAACTTCCTTCATGTTTTAAACCAAAATGATTACGAATTACAATAGCTTGTATCTCACCTAATAATGGTCCGATTTCGATGATTTTTTTTTTTTATTATAGGGAATTTAGCAATCTTTCAAATAATTGTGTGTACAATAAACAAAAAATGTAGATTTTTCAGTTATACGCAAATAAAGTTTCTTTTCCTTCATATCTTTTTTCCCTGAAATTTCGGATGATGTGACTATTTTTCCTATCTGAAGAAGAGAAAAAAAAAATTAAATCCATTATCTAAACATAACCTAAAATAAAACTATCTTATGTCACTATCAATAAAATTATAATAAGGCATGGTTTAATCTTTTATGCTTATATTGTTGTAGTACAAATCTTCTAATGTTTACTAATGTTTTTATATGTTCATAAGGGCTGTTGTTACAGGATTCAATGAAATTTGTTGTAACCTAAAATGCAATCTTGGATTTTCTGAATACTTAAAACTTCGTGCATGTGCATTAGCGAGGAACTTCTGGATGAAGATCCAATAAATCTCATACACTTATTTTGTACAATTAATAACTTTTTGTAGTTAGTTTCACAAGTATTCGACTATATTGGGCAGGCACAATGGCGGATCTACGGGGGGAGGAGGGGGAAGCTTTCGGGCTGAAGCCCCCAAAATGATAAAATATAACCATGTTTTACAGAAAAAAATATTAAAAACTATCTCTTAAAGCATTCTTGTTCGTGTAATTAGATTTATTAGGACTTCAAGAAACACTTAAACACCATTTCATACAGATAGTTAATTTTCTTTTTTTTTCTAATTAATTATTGTTATACGTATATGAAAACAAATCTTTCGGGCTGAAGCTCCCCAAAATTAAATCCTGGATCCGCTAGTGGACAGGCATACAATATCATTAATCTTATAAATAAATAATTCATGAGCCTCTTATTTCTCTGGTTTAAACTGACTTTCTATTTTTCACTGGAAAATAGAACCGGTCATTTATCACATTGTTTATTTATATTTTTTGTGTAAGTCAGTTTAGCTTAGAGCCTAAGATGACACCAAGATATTCAACATTCGGTTTCCATTCTGAAAGCTGTCCTTTTCAATTTAACCCTGTTGCTCATGTCAGGTATTCTTTTTGTGAGTAGAATAAATTGAGTTTTACCCTCGCTTAGCTTTATTTTCCATAAATAAATTCCATTATTTTCTGTTAAAATGTACAAAGCATTTTTGAATACCAACGGTTAAAAGATTGGTGATGGCGTGTTAGAGGAAATATAAAAAGCTGCATCACCTGTATATAAATCAATATTGCATTTTATTTTTAATTTTGTAATACTGTCGAAAAAAAAACCGTTGAAAAGGACTGGGCTTAATACTGAACCCTGGGGTATTCCAGAATAAATCTGTTTGTAATGAGAATTTTCATTATTTAGGGATACATCAAACATTCTGCAGCATAGATCACTATTAATTAACCAGGTTGAATATTTTAAGAATCACACATTTATATGCTTAAACAGAAGACCTTGGTGCCACATCCGATCGAAAGCCTTCTACGTCGATTACATGCTTATTGAGAATGAAATTGTGGGAAAAATATCAGTTACTCTTGCTAGTTGTGTAGTGATTTAGTGATGGGACCTAAATCCATGTTTTTTATTGGATAACATACGATTATTTTCTGAAAAAAATGATTATTCTGATTGAGATTTTTTTTTTCAGTCACTTTGGCTAAACAGTCAAGTATTGATATGCTTGGTTTTTGACAGGTTTAGGTTTGACTATCTATCACTTTAGTTATTTTCCAAAAAACTGAAAGTTAACCAAATATAAGAACGTGATTAATAATTTTGATCAAATTTGTGATACAAGGCAACCAACCATATGATAAACCTAAGATACAAGATACATAATAAAACGCTCATTAGACCAGTAGTCACCTATGGAGTGGAAACATGGTGTTTATCGGAAGAGGATTGCCGTAAACTAAAAGTATTCGGAAGGAAAATAATAAGAAGGATTTACGGTCCTACAAGTGTTAATGGTGATTGGAAAATCAAAAGCGCCTGGGAGTTTTTTTTTTTTTTACAATATACAAAATAATTAGGAGTTCACGTCCAGGGGACGAGAAGCGGGACTTTTTAACTCCGGCATTAGGTATTCTTCTCTGGCCCAGGAAAATTTCTGAATAGCCCGGAATGCAAGAAAACGGTGGACAAAAAATTAAAAAGATACATTTTTTGGAAATAGTTGTTAGAAGGATATTGGTCACACCATTATTTCCTGGAGCTTTGTTTTACTGATTTTTTTTCAGTGATATAGGGCGGGTATCAGTATGTTTAGAACGATCCATTTTTAAAATTGGTTGGTTGATTTCTAAGACGACGAGTAAAAGACGAAAAACCTATTTCTGAGTCTAATTAAAATTGTTTTCCGAATGTATCTGCATATAATTTAACTTTGTCTCTATCAGAATATGCAAACGCGGTAAATGGAGGTCTACCTGAAGGAATTGATCTTCAAAATGAGGGGTCAATCATTGAATTTGATGAAGAATTGACAAAGATATGACGTACCGACATTTGAGAAATAATGTATAAAGATTATAATGGCGTAACATTACATAAAACTAAGGGAAGAGAATGTTGTATTAAAATTGAACGAATCTCGAATTTTCGGGAAAAAAATTATGGATTCTAATTTCATTAAATATTAAAGGAGACAATACACACCCGAACTGAATGTGAAATAAATGGTAGATATATATTTTTTAAACCCTCAATAGCTGGACATATGTTGATAACAACCCCTTCCGCAGAGCGGTGAGCCGCCGATGTTAGCCGAAGGCGCTCGTGCTCCGTCGGGCCCCAGCCGGGACCCCCAGACCGCTTCAGTCTATCCCGAAATGCCGGCCACTGAAGAACTCAGCTCCAAGCTCGAGCGGAGGCTGGAGATCAACACCGCGCTCGACAACGGCATCCCCGTCGAGCCGCAGTTCAGGGCCCACAGGTCCATCTATGCAGAGTTCACCGAGTTCACGCGGAAACAGATCAAGGAGTATGAGGCTACTTTCAACAAGTGAGTCCCATTTACAAAAAAAAAAAGAAAATACCAATAATAAACAATAAAAATACAAACTCAGAAAAAAAAATAAAACAGCCAATAAAAAACCCCAAGAGTCAACATAAATGTAATTAAATCAAAATATCTTAAAAATTATTAGCATTTCAAAAAGTTTTTGAGTGATAACTTATCTACATTTTACTAATAAATTATCACTGAAAACAAATATATTTATTTGTTTAATAAGTTAAGTTTAATAATCCACATGTCACTTTATTCTTAATAATAATAATAATAATAATGAGCATTAAATAAAAACAATATAGTTTTATTGAATCCATAGGAAACAGTTTCAATAATTTGAAATTCAAGTAATAAATAATAAATGAAATGTATACATATTTATTTAATATTATTTTATTAAATATGCTTATATTATATAACAATATTATTTTATATTATTGAGATATTTATACAAATATCTTGTCAAGCTTGTTAAGTACAAATATCACATTAATATTTACATTGAAGTTTTCTACACGAATAATGTTTAGTTCATTTTGTATTAATATTTGATAAGATAAAAAAAAATGTCATTATTTTTAAAATATCTCAATTTATCGTTGACAGTTTCTTACTTATTTTCTGATTATTGTATTAAAAATTCCTTTAGAGTATATGAATTGGCATGCGATATTAAACTTGTCCGAATACACTAATGGTTTTGGAAAAACAATCCCCGAAAATCCCTATTACAAAAAAAAAAAAAAAGAAAAGAACATGGAAAAAACAACGTAACATTCAATAAATACAGTAAAATTACTTTTTTTTATTTCAGTAACCTACCAGAAGAAACCACTTTTAATATTCATGAGTTCCAAAAATGACAGATCTGGTGACCAAAACCAGTGTGATAAGTTTAAAGAGAAGAAGTTTAAAAGATGCTCGTAGTAAAGTTTCACTTTTGTTTTGCTAAATATTATTTATTATTATTAAAATAAAAATAGAAAAAATATATACAGAATATTTCCATTTAGAATATGACAATAAAAAAAAAGGTTACAAAACTTTAATTATGATGAATATTAAAAAAAAGAAAAACGTTGAGAAAAATATTTTCTAAGAAAGAAAAGTTATTCCTAATAGATAACAAATTCTGAGTATAGAATTCTTAAAATTATGTTAGATACTTATTTTAATAAAAATATAATGAATAGTTTCTTCTTGGTGGAGTCTTAAGAAGTTCTTAAATTTTGATTATTAGTTTTCTTCATGATTTTATTAAATATTTATTTTGTTTTATGAACTTGCGATTATTACTTTTTACAGGTAATTAGCGGGTGTTTCTGTTGATGTTGATAAAAATAGGATATTTATTATTTTTTATATGAAGATTTCGAAAATGCTACTACATAATGACTAGTTTATTTAAGTATTAAAACTGATAATGTGGACTTCGCTCTCCTCAGTTGACAAACTTATAAGATTTTTTTACCAATGAATTATGAATTTCTCTTAACAAAATGATACATCCAGAATTCATATAAAATAAAATTTACTTACAGTATAAGAATTTATATAATATAATAGTGGTTGTGGGTTGATTTTTAATATGCGTATTGTTAATGTCAATTAGAATTATTAACGAAAATCAACCCATAACCCTTTGTAATGGGGTCTTGAAGACGCAGCACTAGCGGATCCAGGATTTAATTTTGGGGGGGGGGGGGGGCTTCAGCCCGAAAGCTTTTTTTTTCATAAAAATAACGATAATTACTTTGGAAAAAAAGAAAGAAACTAACTACCTGTATGAAATGGTGTTTAAGTGATTCCTAAAGCCCTTTTAATATTAATCACACAAACAATAACACTTTAAGAGATACTTTTTTAATATTTTGTTCGATAAAACATGGTTATATTTTTTCAATTTGGGGGAGGGGGGCTTCAGCCGAAAGCTCCCCCGTAGATCCGCCCGTGAGACGCAGTGCAAGAAGCGAAGTTGAAAATCAAAGTTTAAGTATTATTATTATTATATCAAGTACCTAACGAAGGGAAACTAAAAATGATTCGTTCCTTATCTCTGTTATCGTTTTTCTATATTTTTAAGTTCCTAGCTTTCTCCTGATCATATCTGTTTTTGATAAAAATGTTGATATTTGTATCAGTTCTTTGTTGAAAATATTTAAAAAAAAAAAAATTCTCGGACGGAGGTATTATTTAAATTATTATTCAGGTTCTTGCGCCATTGGGGGGAGGAATGGGAGGGGAAGGAAATGAGCACCCCCCGAAAAATAATGTTTTTTACTGTTTGTTGTGACGCCCGACGTTTCGGTCCAGCCGAGTGGGCCAACTTAGAGGATGGAGCAGATTGAGGAAATATTTCAGAGCGAATTTTTAAAATGTATATACTTTTTTCGGTTACCTCTATTACCTCGCCGTTTATGACTTTCGGAGGGGTTGTTCTTGAGGTACATCCAAATCTATTTAAACCAATATGAGAAGGTCGAGATTCTTTCCATGGATCAGCCAAGAAATAAATTTTAACCTGTATAGGGCAGATTCGAACTTTTACAAATTGAATGCTGAGAATGGACATCATAGTGGTGTATTACTAAACATTCTCTTTAAATAAATCACAAAATTTCAACTAAGCTCTTGGACGATAAGGTACTCTGTCGCAGAAATATGAAAGATGTTATTTTTTCATCATAAAAAATATTTGTTCACAAATTATAAACCATGCTTCGTTACAATGCTCAAAAATTCTGCATTCAATAAATGCCAAATCAATTTTTTTTTTTTTTAAATAAAACTAGAAAACAAATTAGTTTTCCTATATTTTATGGAAGTGGTTCTCAGTAAGTTTTCAAGACACAGTGAAACAGGTTTATAATCTAAAGAAGTTATGTGGAGGTTTAGGAACGTTTATTTTTGGAAAATTGTTTTTGCTATTAGCTTTAGTTATTACATATTCGAAGGTCGTTATAGTAAAATTTTGAACATTCTCGAGGGACGTCAGATGAAAGACAGTTAACAAGATTTACGAGCCTCGACAAATATTATTGTGGTGTCGGCTAGTTCTTATCTCTCGACAACTAAGCGCCCCGTATTAGCAGAGTGACGTAGCTCTAGAAACAACAAGACATTAGCCCGAAAAATTAATACAGTCTCATTATAGTCGTATGATGGTTGACTGTAGTGAATAATAAAAATAAATATCATTTATTTATTATTCAACTTCTCTTCAATTAATACAGTCTCGTACGAATTTCTCTTTATGGATAATTTCATTGCTTATTTATTAAAATATATAACGATCGGAAGCAGACCTGGGGAGTATTAATCAAATGAAGTATTTTAAAATACAAAACAAAATACCTTTTTTGTTTTTATCATTTTAAGAATTAAAATATAAAATAGATTATTTGTAACTGCATAATTTCTTTTTAAAATGCATAATACAAAAAAAAAAAGTATTTGCATTTCATTTCCAACATAATAAAATATAAATAAATTATTTTACTTTGTAATTTAAATACTCAAAAGAATTATCAAATAGAATAGGCGCATAGATCGTCCAGGAAGTATTTTGTTTTTTGTAATTAAAATACAAAATACTTATGATATACATTTTCTGAAAACAATTGAAATACTGTAAAATTAAAAATACAAAATACTTGATATTTTGTTTTTATAAGAATTAAAATATAAAATAGATTATTTGTAACTGCATAATTTCTTTTTAAAATGCATAATACAAAAAAAAAAAGTATTTGCATTTCATTTCCAACATAATAAAATATAAATAAATTATTTTACTTTGTAATTTAAATACTCAAAAGAATTATCAAATAGAATAGGCGCATAGATCGTCCAGGAAGTATTTTGTTTTTTGTAATTAAAATACAAAATACTTATGATATACATTTTCTGAAAACAATTGAAATACTGTAAAATTAAAAATACAAAATACTTGATATTTTGTTTTTATCATTTTAAGAATTAAAATATAAAATAGATTATTTGTAACTGCATAATTTCTTTTTAAAATGCATAATACAAAAAAAAAAAGTATTTGCATTTCATTTCCAACATAATAAAATATAAATAAATTATTTTACTTTGTAATTTAAATACTCAAAAGAATTATCAAATAGAATAGGCGCATAGATCGTCCAGGAAGTATTTTGTTTTTTGTAATTAAAATACAAAATACTTATGATATACATTTTCTGAAAACAATTGAAATACTGTAAAATTAAAAATACAAAATACTTGATATTTTAAAAATAATTAAAATATGTTTTGCCCAGATCTGGTCGGAACTAGGATTTTGACAGGGGGCAAATTTTATTTTTCGTCTGTTTTCCCAATATAATACAACAGTATTCTGGGTAATATAGTTCGAAATAACTGTCATAACTTAAACTTAACTCATTGTATTGGCAGAATTCATATCTAAAAATTAGAAAGCTGAAAAAAACACATCTGTTTAGAAACTTTAAATAAAATATCAACCAATACTTTTCGCGTTCTAAATTTCGGCTTGGGAAGCAATCTACACATTTAATATTTACGTTCTGATGAACATTACATGTATAGAAAAACATAAGCAACTTGATTGATTCAAAAATCCATTTGTATCAACTTTAGCAGTTTATTTGGATTATCTTCACCACTAGCGGATCCAGGATTTAATTTTGGGGGAGGGGCTTCAGCCCTAAACCTTTTTTTTTCATAAAAATAACGATAATTACTTTGGAAAAACAGAAAGAAAATAACTACCTATATGAAATGGTGTTTAAGTTATTCCTTAAGTACTTTTAAATGTAATTACACAAACAATAATACTTTAAGAGGAATTGTTTAAATTTTTTCCCCATAAAACATGGGTATATTTTTCCATTTTGGGGGGGGGGCTTCAGCCCGAAAGCCCCCCTCCCTCCCCATAGATCCGCCCGTGATCTTCACGAATACCTTTACTCACACAACTTAATGTTGTTTCTAAGAGTTAT